ACCTGAGGAGGTGGAGGGGGTTTGTGAGTCAAACCTATTGAAGAACAGGTTTAGCTCGTTGGCATATCCCTTTGTCCCCTCGGGCGACAGTTTTGGTTGTATAAGGTACTTCTCCATCGTAAGTGTATCAGATTGGAGTTGGTACACCCCCAGTTTGGAGAGGCAGACAGGAGTTTCAGTGCAAAAGCTAAACAATGCACTGCTGTGGATGGGGGCAACAACAAAACATATTTTGGACACATAAAAAAAGACAAACCCAGAAAAATCAATATCTGTTTAAGTGTTCTCTATATTTAGAATATTTTCACCACTTTAGCTTTCCATCAGACAGCCCTTTCTGACAGGAAACTAAAGCCTTATATTGTTCTCCTCAAAGCCACCAGACTCCTTTGACTAAAACAATAATTTTACCTCGCATAAAACGGAAGAAATAAAGTCCATGTCAAGTTCTTGTTAACCTTACAGAGGAGCGATAGAAAGCATCCTGACTGGAAAACATCATAAAGGAGGAGGACTCTGCAGCAGGTGATTAATACCGAAGATTATTGGTACTCAGCTAGTACATCAGTGATATTGGTGAGGTGTCTGCGGAAAGCCCAAAGGATACTAAAAGCAGCAGCAGTACATCGCTTAGCTTCCTTGCTGGTCTCCTGTCTGCTTCTTCAAAATGGGGGGAGTGTAGACTGCTATTTACTGTAGGTAATACACTGACTATAGATAAGTCCCTTAACTATCACTGTAACAGAGAGCACTCAAATTCGCCATTGAGCTCAACCAAATCCAACCAGTGTTTTACTGTTTAAATAAATGGAGCCGTTCAGGGTAAAACTGCTAGAAAAAGGATATAGTTGACCGTTAAACCTACCTGGATAAATAAAGGTTGGAAGAGCATTTAAATAATCAGGAAAACTGTGGGAACTGACATTATTCGGATGTACAAAGTGTCAGTATCAATCTTTTTAAATTATGAATGAATGCATGTAATCTATATTGTGGCTTTTACAGTGTGATCATAACACTGTGCCCACCTTTACTGCTGCATCACTGCAGATCAGATGACTAATATTACAATGTCAGTCACGCATTATGAAAAGCACTGAAGCAATGAAGCAATCAGATGACAGTGAGCAAGTTTGTGCAGGACACTAACTCCTTCAACTCTGGATCAAAACCCACCACTGTGTTTCCCAGAATAATGGGTACAAACTTAAAAGTCAAGGCCTTCTGGTTTCTGCCGCAGAGGGAGGAATTTAGTCTGACAAGATTCAGCACATCACCCCAGAGAGAGGGAGATATGAGAGAAAAAAGGGGAAGGGAGAGGAAGGAAAGGTATGAGAAGAGTAGGAATGAGAGGAGGAGGAGGAGGGAGGAGGAATTCCTGCGTGTAGAGACTGGTAGCAGCAGCAGAGCTCTGAAAGTTCAGCCACAAAGTTATATTCACTGATAATAAAGCAGAATGAATAATCTACTGCAGATCACTATTGGAACACAATCTGCCTAACCTTGCCTGATGGTGACATGATGTGTTCAATTCTTACTGTAAAGGAGGGCTTTTAGTACTTTAATGTGTATCTAGGCTGGTCATATATAGAAACCAGTCACTACAGTGGCATGTATGACTTATGTATGAGTAGGACCTCCTCAGGCTTTAATGCAGGTGTGAGTCAATTGGGATTTATAAGGTCCAGGTTCAGTGGTGGATGGGCGAGGCTGGCCTGAGGGAGAAATACTGAGCCGAATGAACGCCCCCTAAAAATGAGGGCCAAAACATTAAGCATTCACAATAAGGATTTTTAGGCCTCCTTCTGGGCCTCATCGCTGCGTGCTTGAGGCTCATTTGGTTGTGTGAGTGAAAATGTAACAGGCTATGTCTCAATTCATTCTTTTTTACTCAAGGAAATTCATATTCATGCCTACAAGTGACACATTTTTTATCAGTTCAACATTAAAGGAGTGATTGGAAACAGATTTGTTGTTAAATAATGTCATAAACAGTCTAAAATAACTGTACCTGTTGAAGTCCAACTTCCAAAAGCGCATTTTTTAACCAATAATGCACCTAAACATGTGGCAGCTAGTTCCAAACCCTGGTGGTTCTAGCATTAAAAATGGCCATAAAGTGAGCAATATTTAATTAGATTTTTTTTTTTTTTTTTTTACAATTTTCTCCTCCTGTTTTCTTGATGAATATTACAGGTTAAAAAAACTGCTATGAAATGCCAGCCTCCCCTACAGACATTTATGTTTCCTCGCTGAGTGGTCAGACGTTACTGCTGATGGGAGGGAGGTTGGTTCGGGAAAGGGAGGGGCGGAGCGCTTCTCCTTACCGGGCGGTGTCAGCTGAAGAAAACGGGATAGAGGAGCTGTGAGAGGCCGACAGAGGGATTCGTTTCCCCGGGTGGTATTACTGAATTGCACCAGCGGACTTACAGGTAAGAGGAAGGAGCGTTTTAGGGCGTTTTCTCGCTTCTCGTGAGGGGAAGGTTGGCTGAGGATTTATAACTCACTGCGGCACATCTGCTCCTCTTCCATCCAGCAAAAAGAAATACATTTACCAGCTCACCTCAGGGTGTGTTTAGAGATCATGAATCAAAAATATGCAGTTGGTCGTTAAAGATGCGCAGTATATGTGGGTTATAATATGTATTCAAAGCTTGTGTCTCAATATATTATTATTAGTATTTGACTTTTTTAATTTTCATTTTCAGTAACTTAATCCAGTTGATGTATTATGGAGAATCCCCTGCAGCTAATGGAGCTTCTAAAAGTTAAAAATGAGATTTATTGTGCTAGAATATGTCCATACTTAACAAGGCAATGCTTTTCCTGCACTTAATGCTGGAGAATATAAAATCATAAATGGCTACTAAAGTGTGAACAACATGTTTTATGGTTGTTTCCAAATAGCTGCATTCATCTCAGTTTATAATGAATAATACTGGAGTGTGGCTGGCAGACATGCAGCCATGTGTCAGGATTAAGTGCATCGTCATTCTTCAATAACATGTGTGTGTGTGTGTGTGTGTGTGTGTGAGGGTCCATCAGGGCTCCTGTAGGTTATAAAGAAGACACTCCTTCAGTCATGTGCATCAGTGGATGAATGAGTCCTCAGAGTTGAAATCTGGAGGACAAATAGCATCCGGACAATGCAGTGTCATTGATTATCTCAGCACCAGACCAAGAAGATTAATTTAATTTGTTAACTTTATTAGCTGGCTTTCCCCCCCAAACACATAGATACAGATACATAGTTCTCAAACATGCTATGTATGTATCATGTAATGTTGTTTCTATAACATATTTCTGTGATTTTATGATTAGTATTGGCATAAACAGACTTCTAATCCGATTCTACTATAATTTACCCAGACAAACAGAGCAAGGACAAACCTTAAAATCCTTCAGAATAAAGGCCTGTTCTTCCTGCAGCAGTGACATCTGGTGGCAGTATAAATATATGTTATTATATTAATATATTTTTTGTAATCAACCAATGTTGCATGAAAGATATTTGCAAAGACACCAAACACAATCATGTCTTTACATATTATAAACATAGCTTAAGTTTAATGCATTTCTTATTGACTGGAAATACAGTCAAAGTGCTTATGAAAATGCCTCCACACCATTGTTTCCAGTTTGGTGAATCAGTATGTACAGTATGATGTACAGTATGTATTGTCATGAGGAGGATACTGTCTGCATTGTGTGCACTGGCTGTTTTGCATTAAGAGACATTGCTGACCCTGTCATTGCCTGCCTAGATCTGCGTGTTTATCTTTGTCTGGTATACCATGCAACCATTACGTTTGCATGCATGCGCCAGAGCGTGGCCCATTTGTTTATTTGCCAGTGCTGTAACGTGACCATGGCACGTGGAGATTTTATAGGACGCTGAGAGGTATCCTGATTGAAACTGAGCACATTTTTACATGAAAAGGTGATTTAAATTTGAACAGATATTTAAATCCGACAGGATTTCCTAGCCTAGTCTTTTTGTTTTCTAACGTATCTTCACACAACAGGTGGAATTCATCTCTATAAGTTAGATCTGCGTTTCTCATCAAATCAGATCTTTTGATGAATGGCCAAATAGGGGAAACAGCTGCAGTATGAGAGGTCTCTTATTTTCTATATGATGTTTGGAGGTAGATGCCATTGATATCTCAGATTTATAATGCCTGATTTGTCTGAATGGCTTTGGCTTCCGGCTTTTATTGATTGTCTATGGACGTAAATACATCAAGTTGCCATATTTGTCTTGTGTCAGCTAGCAGTTCTCAAATTAAATTGAAAAGTACGGACTAATCTCACTACCTCTTATTACAGGGACTGTGTATCTCGGCCGATATCTTGCTACTAAAAGCATCATCCTAGCCTAATGGGCTAAGATCTAATGGGATTTATTTATCTGTTACTGGAGGTAGATATATCTGTGTCCGCATGCTGAAACAGATATATTCAGATACCTTATTACATTATCCTATTTAGTGGTATTAAAGGGTCAGCTCGCCCAAATTACAAAATAATTCTCTCATACAACAACCCTCCAATAATCTTAAGTAAATACTAAAGGGACGATACATGATATTTTCAAGTATTGTGATAAAAACGCTCAGATAAAGAAGTATGTTGTGTTTTTGAATGCTTTGAGTAGACACCTCCATTGTATTTAGGTAGTAAAGAGATAGAGTAATATCCTTAGGCTCACCTTTTAGCATCTTGGTAAAACCCAAATTAGTTTCTCTTATATACTTCAAAACAGTCAAATACAGATGCGAACAGTGTTCAGTTAGTTGCAACTTGCAACTTCACCACTAGATGCCACCAAATCCTACACATTGGATATTATATATACATTATATCACATACATTCTTAAACACTGGTCCTTTAACCTTATTTGCAAGTGGAAAAGATTTTTTTATGATTTGGGTGAACTCATTGTAGATGTAAATATGTGGATCGAATCATATATGTTTTTGTTCTAGTGAGAAATATTAAATATCTATAAATAGTAACTGTAATATAAATATCTTCTATACCCCCATTACAGAATCATATTACACCAAAGGCAATCTACATAAATCAATTAGATGTTATATAAGCGTCTCTATGCTGATGTAACGCTAATGCTAAATGGCTCTTTGTATAATAGATCAAGATACTTTCTATTTTCCTGGTTGAGTTAACAGAGCCGTGCTGTTTGAAAGCTGTATATGGCTCCAGGCTAACCCGAGCATTTAACAATTAATAGAGGAATAATGAACACACCATGCTATTGTATGTCATAGATCTAAGAAAAACGGCCCCGAACCATCCTATTTAACAGATGTGTGTCTGTTGTACCCTCTGCCCAAGTTATGAATATGCTCACATTCACTACAGTAAACTGGGCGCTGAATCTTCCAAAGCAGATACTCAAAATATCATCAATAATACTTAAATGAAATGATTTATTAAAGTGAGACTGTATAACTATTGAAAGTAGAGTCTGAGCATTTTTAGTAATATTATTATTGTCACTTGTGGCCATAGTGTCCATTGTTCAGCAGAAGTCACATAGGGTTCACTTTAATGCATAAACATTTCAGGCCAATGTTCTTCCTTGGCATGCAAAGTGGCAACAATATTTTAATATTATGAAAAGCATCAGTGTGGCTGACAATTGTCAGTACAAAGGAGCTCACAACGTCACACCATTGTATCCTGGCGACACAGCTATCCGCACAGCTAAAGAGAACAGAAGATTTATGGGAAATGCTGAAGCACTAGCATAGATATTATACATATATTTTAGCATGTCAACAGGCTACCAATCATCTCAACCATGGTTTGTTTGCCTGAATTGAATGGAGGTGCTGGAGATGAATTTAATAGTAAAGTATCAGTGTTTAAAATGGTATATAGATATTGACTCATTGCTAAAATTGTATCTAAATGCAGCATTTTTTCTTGTGTTCTGCTGTTTTACAGTATAGTAAACATGTCAAAGGTCAGTGCTGAGGAGATGGAGGAGATCAGGGAGGCCTTCCAGAAAGTGGGTGAGTAAAAATGTGTGTGTGTGTGTGTGTGTGTGGATATTGCAGACAGACAACCATCAGAAATGATATATTAGTCAATAATGTTTGAAGTGGGGTAAAGCAGCTGACAGACACATGTCCTTATACACTATGTGTGCTCCATCTGGCAGACAGATGTTTTTATGGGATTTATGGAAAGAAATGAAACCTTGGATACTCATACACATTTCAGTCATTGGAATTCCATGTATGTATGTTTGCTATTTGTTTTTGCATTTTGGTGAGAGTGAGATGAGAAGGTACCACTCTCTCTGTGCGTTAAATGTGAAGATTCCCAGTTTCAGTCTTTATGCTAAGCTAAGCTAACTGTCTCCAGGCAGTTTTTCAATTGGTAATGCAGACTTTAAATATGGGTTGCCAGTCAATTTCCAAGCCCAAGCTGAAATAACCTGGGTGACATCCCCAGTGTTATTTTTTCAGACCTGACAGAGTTAAACTGCGATAGTTATTTCTTATTTGTACACAATTATAAACACATGCATTTAACCAGCAGAGAACACTGAATCTAGTCCCACTCGACTTTAGTATAGCAAATATTACCCACAAATGTCATGTAGATACTGACTGAATCCTGATGGTTGTATCAGTCGGGAGTAGAGATGAGCAGCGTGGGCTCTGGGTAAAATATTGCCTGAACTTTTCCCTCCCTCTTGCCCCCACCCCTCTCTTTTCTAGATGTGGACAGCAACGGGTACATCAGCGCCTCTGAACTCGGTAATCTGTTCCAGGAGGTGCGCTGTCCTCTGCCTGGATACCAGATCAGAGAACTCCTTCAGAAGCTGGACAGAGACAACGACAGCCGCATCAACCTTGAAGAGTTCACGGCTGTAGGTAACACTAACAAATAAACTAACTCAGCTGATTCACAGCTTTACTAACAGTTCACCAACTAACTATTGTTGATTAAATAAAGGATATCTGACTCACATTCAACTGATAAATTAGCTGGTTTATATTAAGATAAATTGATTACTACTCTCTGTGGTACCTGTTGATTTTGAACTGAAGAGGTGAGTAACTGACTAACTGGGAAAAAGACTAACTAACAAATGGGTAAATCACAGATATTAATCAATATCTTGCCACAATTTGAGTCTAAGCCTTGATGTTTTCGTGTGCACATTCAGATTTTCAAGGATATGAAGGACGACCGCATGGCTCAGGGTTTCAGGAAAGCTCTCAACAAGAAAGAAGGCATTGTAGCCATCGGGGGCACCAGCAATATCTCTAGTGAAGGAACTCAGCATTCGATCTCTGGTTGGTAAAGCTGCACAACTTGTCTGATCACTGATTAACACAAATACCCACAGAATGATGTAATCAATACCATCACGCCAACGTGACACTGGACTCAACTGTATTTCAGAGCAGGAGCGCTTCGCCTTTGCCAACTACATCAACTCTTCTTTGGAGAAGGATCCAGACTGTAAACATGTCCTGCCCATCAACCCCAGCACTGAAGCTCTGTTCAAAGCAGTGGCAGATGGCATCGTGCTTTGGTAAATATTAACAAGGCATATCTTATCAGCAAAATGGATGCTCTCAAATCATATGTTCTTCATCATATTGATCACCCACTTTGTAATTATTTGTACCTTTCTATCCAGAACCTCTATATGTAATTTTATCCTTAACTCCACTGCTGCTCCAAATCTGTTAACTTTAAGCTTTTAGGCGTTGTATCAGTTCACTGTGCTGATGTGTTTTTCTTATATGTGTTTTTGCAGTAAACTCATCAACCTCTCTGTTCCTGACACCATTGATGAGAGAACCATCAATAAAAAGAAACTCACGCCTTTCACCATACAGGTTAGTTGATCAGTCGCCTAACTAGTCCACATATTATGTATCATGTGAGAAAACAATATCAAAGGGACTGAACTTACAGCTTTTTATATTTATATAGTATATATATGCACGTTTAAGACATAAAAGCCATTTGAAAAACAATAAACACCTTTTATTTGACAATGACACCATGTTTATATCTAAAACTACATAACTTATTAAACATATACATTATATCACATGAATCTGAACTCCACTTTGGCCTCTTTCATCACTTGTTCATCAGTTTCCTCCTGACTTTGTGTATATTTTTTCCCCTCAACAGGAGAATCTGAACTTGGCTCTGAATTCAGCCTCGGCCATTGGCTGCCAGGTTGTCAATATTGGAGCTCAAGATCTGAAGGAGGGAAAACCTCACCTGGTGCTTGGACTCCTCTGGCAGATTATCAAGATAGGACTGTTTGCTCATATAGAGCTGAGCCGCAATGAAGGTATGTACACACACACACACAAACACACACACACAGAGTCAGACCTGAGTGTGGTACTGCAGGACATTAAATTACATCATATCTATCTGTAGATATAAAACTAAAACATACCCACAGACACATTTTTTTTGCTTTTTGCTTTTATTTACCACTCATTCAAATCAGATTCATGGTTGTGTTTCTGTGTACAGCGATAGCAGCGTTGCTAGGGGAAGGCGAGAGTCTGGAGGATTTGATGAAACTCAGTCCTGAGGAGCTCCTGCTTCGCTGGGCCAATTTCCATTTAAAGAAAGTTGGCATGTCCATATCAAACTTTTCTGGCGATATTAAGGTAAGGAAGTGTTAGTGTGATCTTACTGTCTCTCTTACTGTATTACCACTGAAATTATAATTTCACTGCTAAATCTTTACAACTGAGTCAGACAGCTTAGTTCCGCAGTTCTTTGAGGTAGTGTGCTGCCATTCAAAATGTCTAATAAACTATTTATTACGCAGTAATGTTACATATTGAAAACAACAAAATGCCTGTGAAATCAAAAATCAAGAAACTAGAGATATGCTACGTATCACAATACAGAGATTACTATTCAAAATATTATAATATGTTGCAATAATGTGATACAGACTTTAGAAAAAACTGTCACTGTATAAAGAGCACACCACCATATGCATAAAATCTGAGTAAAAACCAGTTTACCTTTTATGCAACAAGAACTATGGGATCTGCATTTGTATTTATCGCAGTCTCTGTAAAATCCTACATCAAAGCCCATTTTTACCTTTAACAACACTGTTATCCAGCGGTTGGAGGTTTAAACACAAAAATCGATACAGTGTTTATAAGAAGAAGAATTTTGCAATATACAAGAATCAATAAGAAAAATCAATATTTCCTGACACCCCTCGTTGTAGTGGGGGAGTAACTCTCAGTGTGGTTTGGTACGTGGTCACATCTCCCTGTCTATCTGTTTCTGTGCAGGACTCCAAGGCGTACTTCCACCTGCTTGAGCAGATCGCTCCAGACGGCAGCAAAGAGGACGTTCCACGGGTTGATGTCGAAATGACTGGTCTTTATGTAAGTTAATAAAGTTACAGCTAGAATACTTTTTATCTTAGACAGCAAAGTGTAATTTTTATATTCTATTTATTTAGTATTATTTTAGTTGTAAAACTGATATCTACTGTATATGGAAATGAGAGAGCCTGTTTTCTCCTAGCACAACATAAATCTGTATTTGTGTGTCTGTGTGTGTCACCAGGAGAAAGATCTCACGAAGCGAGCAGAGTGTATGCTCAAACAGGCCGACCGCCTTGGCTGCCGACAGTTTGTAACCGCCACTGACGTCGTGTGTGGAAATGCAAAGCTCAATATGGCCTTTGTAGCCACGCTCTTCAACAAACACCCGGCTCTCACCAAACCAGAGAACCAAGAGTGGAACCTGGAGAGTAAGCGTGGATGAATAATCCCTCTCTCACATACAGTATACTTTTAAAAATGTCCATTAAAAACCTCCTGTGCAGTCCTGTGTCTGCCAGGCTTACCTCTCTCTCTCTTACTGTCTCTCCCAAGGTGAAACCAGAGAGGAGAGAACTTTCAGGAACTGGATGAACTCTCTCGGAGTCAGTCCACATGTTCACCATATCTACGGGTTGGTATCTAGTTAGCCTTTCTGCTCTTTATTCCCACGCTGATGGCACAACTCGTTGTTTCATTACATGCATGTGTGTATATATATCTTTCTATATGTGTGTTAATGCAGCGACCTGCATGATGCCATGGTGATTCTGCAGCTTTATGAAAGAATAAAGGTGCCAGTGGACTGGGACAATAGAGTCAACCGCCCTCCATTCAAAGGAGTAGGAGGAGGACATTTAAAAAAGGTAAATGCACATACTACTTTCCAAACTGCTACAGTATCTAAGACAAGATAAGATAAGATAGATTTTATTGATCCCACACTGGGGAAATTCTCTTGTTAAAGCAGCTCCAGATATATAGCAGATAAGAAAAAAGAAAAGAAAATACACAAACAAACAACAAAATAAAATATAAAATAATTGCACCATACAAAAAAATATACAGTATATATACATCAGTAATTTAGCAGGAGACAATAAGCTAGACAGGGCTATGAATATACAGTATAGGTCTAAATGCTAATGTGCATGTAAGAAATGATATTTACATATATATTCATGTAAGAGCTATGTAAGAACTATCTACAGCAGGGATACTCTGATTTAGTTTACCATAAAATATGCTTATTTTGTGCGTGTGTGTGTGCGACAGATGGAAAACTGCACCTACGCTGTGGAGCTGGGCAAGAAAAGCGCAGGTTTTTCCCTGGTGGGAATTGGCGGACAGGACCTCTACGATGGAAATCCAACTTTAACTCTGGCACTGGTGTGGCAGTTGATGAGGAGGTGACTAACACTTAATAAACAAGCTTAACTTTATCACATGGCAATAAACAAGCAAAAACACCACTGTGAAGAAAGACAGCGTCCTCAGACTCAGAATGTTTGAGTTGCTGTACAGCCCAGAAGAGGGAGATGGCACTCTTCTCTCAGCACAGTTTCTGTCAGAGTCACATAGTGGAAGGACTGACAGACAATTGGAAACAGTGGAGTTTATGGGAGATATAGTATTAATTTAGCTAAATATTACATAACATTAAAACTGACAGTATTGGGAGGCCACCAGTCATCTCACATTGTCTAATTTATTTACAGTAATAATGGCAAGTTATTCTATTGCATCTTAAAATAATCTGCCTACCTGTTTAACTCACTGATTGTACCACAGGCTTCATACTGTAGCTAGAAATAACTTAATTGTTGATATTCATACATTTGATCTTATAATCTACGCAGGTACACTTTAAATGTTCTTGAAGACCTCGGACATGGAGAGGTCGCTGGAGATGATTTGATCATTTCATGGGTCAACAAGACTTTGGCTGGGGCTGGCAAGAGTTCCTCTATCAAAAGCTTTAAGGTGGGTTTTATTTTAGATGTTTTAAATGCAACCATCCTGTGTGCAGCGTCATCGTTGTAGGAGAAAGAATACATTTAGTTCAGGATTTGGTTTATACTGTATGTTATATGTTGAGTATACATGTGTGATATGTGTGTGTTTATCTCTCTGTTCAGGACAAAGTGATCGGTACCAGTGTTCCAGTTCTGGACGTGATTGACGCCATTCAGCCGCATAGTGTGAACTATGAGCTGGTTAAAACAGGAAGTCTGTCAGACGAAGACAAACTGGACAATGCCAAGTAATCCCCTACCTGATATTATCTCACTGTGTGCTTATTTGTAGTTGGTATTATATTTGGAAAGAGTAATAAGGTTGCAGCAGCCGGAGGCGGTAACAAAAAGTAGTGCAGTCAAGTCGTACAGCCTTCAAAGAATATACAGGAAGTCAGAAATATTGCCGTTGTTATCAACCAGAGAAGATATATTTAACAGATTAAACCTTTGGCTCCAAAAAGTGCGGCTGCCTTGATCTTTTGAGGTTATCGTTGCCCATGTGTACACAACGTCAGAGCAAGTTGGTATCAAGTTGTACACCGACACGCATTGCGCGGCAACAACCATTTCTACACATATGCATGTACATATATATATATATATATGCAAACTCTGGTGAGTGATAAAACACTCAGATCAGACTTAAAACATTAGAGAACTATAATTAATGAACATTCACAATAACACGGCTCTGCAGATATTTTCAGAAGCAACAACAGTAACTTTCAAAGTCCAAAGTAATGTAGATAAATCAATGATCAATGAAAATATCATATCACATATTTGCTGCATAAACAAGTAACTGAAAAATACAGCGAGTGTCACAGATATAATATGTTGCCATAGTGATCCTGACTGTGACCCTTTCCTGCACCAGGTATGCCATTTCCATGTCGAGGAAGATCGGGGCCAAAGTCTACGCCCTGCCTGAGGACTTGGTGGAGCTCAACCCCAAAATGGTGATGACCATCTTCGCCTGCCTGATGGGTAGAGGCATGAAGAGGGCATAAAAGAGACACACATACACTCACACACTCACACACACATAATGACTGACTGTCTGCGCCTGTTGGATTGTATGAGACATGAAGAGAGTGAACATAGCTTTATTGTTTTGTTCCTTTAAGGTTCTTCTGCATTAGCATAAATAGAAGTGTCACTTTATTCCCTCTATTCTGAGTTCAACTGTTAGGATACAGGAATGAACAATAACATGACACAAACAGTGGTGATCTTTGGGCTCAAAAGGAATGTGTATTTTCCAAATGTTCAGACAATGAAGTGAGACTTCTATAACGGCTACATGGCAGATATTTGGGTTTTTTTGGATCTCGGTTTTGCTTCGGGTCACTACGGTGGTTGAGTGATTAGCAGTGTCTCATTAAGAAAGACTCAACTTCCTATACTTCCTATAGATATGAATACAAGTGTGAGTGGGTTTGTCTAGACTGGCAACCTGTCCAGGGTTTGCCCAGTGCATGCTGGGATAGAAACGTGTCCTATCTGTGGCCCTGATGAGGGGTAAGGCTGTGATACATGGGAAACATTTAAAGACCGCTTAACATAAAGCAATAATTTAAGCTATTGAGAGTTGGGAGTTTTTTCTCAACATTTTTTATGTGTAATAAGATTTTATTGCACTTTTACCTCTGCATTCCTGCTTTTCTCCCAAACACATTACTTGACATTTGCATTGCATCAAAGTTTCCCATGTGTCACTGCCTCATGATATACCGACTAAGTTCTGCTGTATCTTCCAATGTGCCAGCAAATTCACAGTATGAGCATTTATCGTACTTAAGCCATAATATAATATCCTTTACTGAATACCTTTGGGCCTTTTTTATGTACAACCAAAGCTGTGCAAGATTACAGTCAGTGTATGTCTTCACACTAGCATCTATAAAACTGAATACCTTCATTTGTTTATAACCTAACCATTGATACTGATGCAATTAAGGTATTTTTAATGAGATTTTAAGGGGATAATTATGTAATACATGTGTACCTTTCACCACAACATGTTTCTTAATGGATTATCTTTAAGTTATTTCTAAGTGGTAAAACCCCCTTAAATCTGACTGGATGTCATCCATTTATTTGAATATTAAAAAGCATCTTACTTTTTCAGTTAAGGTGAAATCCTATTGGTAAACGGGGAAGGTGGGTAAACCCTCAAACCTTTATAATCCAGATAATCCTTTAATACCCATTGATAATACATCTATAAATGTATCCATCAATTGACCCCAAATTTGTGGTGAACCCATGAATTTGCACCTTAGTTGAAAGGTGCTAATAAGGTACAAACTAACGATTACCTGCAATACTGTTTTGTATATTTCAAGGACTTATTTAACCCTTAAAAACACCTTCATCAATGCAGAATTAATTAAAAATCATTTAATATATTATCCATCCATCTATTAACGTATTCATTATGAAACCACAAATTTGGGGGAATTACATACCTGAAATCTGCCTAAGAATTCTTTAAAATGTAATTTAATTGCACCATATTTCCGACCCCTCAATGCTGTCTGGAGATGATTATTCACACAGGAACAGAACATCTGTATTTGATGAGTTGAAGATGTAGAACTGATCCATGTGAACACTGTCAAAGATTTATCTGTTCCTAATTAAACAGCCTGATTGAAATATGACTTCAATTGTAATAAACATCCTAAGAACAATTTTTAGTCCTGTGTTAGTCTAGAATATCAATACATTTAGTCTTAACACTGCAGCTGAATATGTGGATACGTTATCCAGTTTTGTTGCTGCTGATTTTAACACTTGATATGTTTTGTTGTTGTTTTTCTTTCCCAAATGTTTCTCAGTAAAGCACTTTCCAATAAGCTGTTTATCTATGTCAGCTCTTTGGAATGTTATAAAAATAAAATATATTGCTTTACATGATAGCAATACTCCAAAAATCCTGTGTACAATCAGATTAATAATGAGAATTAATAAAAAAAATAATAAAAGCATTTTTCCATATGCTGTTTGATTTCTGTTTTCTGTTGCTGTTCTTTTTCTGTCCTGTATCGAATATTGGGTGTGACAGTGGATCTCCACCGCCCTCCACTCTGTCTTCACACGCCTTGAAAATAACAACACCCACATCAGAATGCTGTTTGTTGATTTCATTTAAGCATTCAACACGTTCTTCCCTGTGAAACTGAGCACTTTGGGCTTAAGTACCAAACTCTGCAACTGCATATTGGACTTCCTCACAAATAGATAGACAGTTCGGTTTAGTGGTAACACCTCCTCCACTCTAGTTCACAACACTGGAGCCCCTCTGGGCCATGTGTTCAGCTGTACACCCACAACTGCATCCAGCGACATGCAAACTGTCGGACAACACTACCTTCATCCGCCAGATTTAAAACTTCATTTTACAAGGAAATTAACAGTCCTGCAGAGTGGTGCACAGAGAGCAACCTACTGCTCAGCAAAACCAAAGAGCTGATCTTTGAATTTAGGGAAAAGGATGCAAAGACACCAGGGGCAGATCAAAAACAATGCCTGGTCCCCCCATCTGTCGCCCCAGTTTGACGTGAATTACTATCAGATTTATAATTTAGATACATTTTGAGAACAACACATCAAAAAAATAAATTGATTTAATGATCTATTGTGTCCATAGTATCAACTAGGCTTAAGTCCAATTAATAAAAAACATGTATTTGGAAAAATGGAGGGAGAATTGGAAATAAGACAATTAATTAATATGTATTTCTTTTTTAGTATTTTTTGGGGCTTTTATTGCCTTTATACGATAGTGACAGCTGAAGATAGACAGGAAAGTGGGGCAGAGAGAGGGGATGACATGCAGCAAAGGGCAACAGGTCGGATTCAAACCCTGGACCACTGCAGCAAGGACTCAACCTCAGTACATAGGACGCCAGCTCTACCAAATGAGCTAACCAGACAACCTAAAAATGTATTTCTAATGCCGCCTTTAGATGTTTCTTTACTAATGTGCCACAATAATTAGAGTTAAAATATCTTCATTTGGCGGCTTTTCCTAGCAAATATCGATATGTGATTCTTTGTGATTAAATCAGCATTTATTTATGGACACCACATGAATAACATCCTAACATCCAATAACATCCAACTTCAGTAGAGCTGTGGTGGAGCAAGTGAACAGTTTTAGGTTCCTGGGAATCAGCATCACAGAGAACCTGTCATGATGTCAATGTGGTGGTGTTGCCAGGCTGTTACTATGTCAACAGTGTGGTTGATATGATCATGATAGTATAGTTAATCAGAGCTGAGAGGCAGTTGTTGAGCCTGCTGGATGTGTCCTGAGTCTAATTCAACCAATCATGTTTGAGATTCAGACGAAAAGAAATGACTTGCTATTACCCTTCACATCCTTTAATTATTCATGTGTCTGTGTGTACCAGAATTTGGGATGAATTATGTTTCATTTCCCTAAATTCAGAACACACATCGAGCAAATTTTGGGCTAAAAACAGCAAATTTTATCTCAACTATTTATTCATTTGCTGAATCTGAATTGCATTTTGGATTAAAATCCAGTTTCTGAAATAAAATTCACGTCTCAATTAACATGTGCAGGTGTGTGAATAAAAACACATCCCTCTCAGTAACCAGGAGAATATACGCACACGAAGACACACTTGTACTTTAGAGGCCACTTCAAACAAGGTTCTTGAATTCAGATGAGCTTCGTGGTTGAAAAGGAACACACGCACACACACAATTTGCAATTTAAACGATGCTTTTGTCAAATGCCATGTGATCATTCCTTTGATCGGTTACATTTGTCCACTCCATCCATCCATCCATCCATCCATCCCTTCATATGAGTGTACGTCTGCCCTTCGTGATTAATGTCTTTTGAATGCAACCAAATAGATAAAGGCGATACAGATGGGCTGCAGCTAAACTACAGACGTGAACTGAACGTGATGGACTGATGAATTATTGTTGGATCAGAGAAATTTAACAGGTTTGTTGATTTGGAACATCTTTCTATCCCTCTCTCTTATGATCTGTTACAGCTATACAGCTTGTTGCTATGCCATCTGGTTTCCTTGGTGATGCATGATACAGGATGACCTCCTATTTGATGACCTTCCTTTTTTGACTATGGGTTCAGCATTGCTGATGTGTGTGTGCAGCCTAGTGAGTTGTGTTAGTTTGGCAGTCTGCATCAGCCTCTCTATGTTTGCATGTCTCTGTGTTGCAGCTTGCATTTTATTGTGTGTTATTAATGTATGTCATGACTGTGTGTGTGTCTATCTGCCTGGGAGATATGCATGTTTGTGTGTGTGTGTAGTCTAATAATGTGTTTGGTTCTTTCTGTAATGAACAAATGAAAATTAATTGAGTCTTGCCATGGTGTGTGTGTGTGTGTAGTATGACAGCCACAGTGCAGGATTCACACAGGCTGTCTGTGAAAACATGGACAGAGGAGGAGAGTGACCGAGCTGACAGCACACTTAGCAGGTACACACACATACATACATACATACATACATACACACATACATTTTTAGGATTTTATGTGCAGCACTGGTACCTGTACACACATTCGTAAGTTAATTTGGGGAACTATCCATACTTTAACTGATGTGTTGTATGCAATGTGTTGTTATCGCTATGTAATTTTGCAATCATAGTACATTATAAACATCTTTTAAAGCTTTATTGTCCATATTCGGGATCTTTAATTTAGACTTTATCGTTAAAGGTCCAGTGTGTAACATTTAGGAGGATCTATGGGCAGAAATGGAATATAATATTCATAGGTATGTTTCCATTGGTGTATAATCACTTGACAATAAGGATCATTGTGCTTTCATAGGATGGAACAAAGAAACCAAACATTGGCTCTAGTAAAGGCCTTTTGCGTTTTAGATGTTAAGATGATAGTTTCGTTGTCTGGGTGCAGACCTTTGAATCCACCCACTCCACCGAAATGTGAAGGAGTAGTAGTAGTCACTGAATATTTCTTTTTATGTATTTGTGATGTGTGTGTGGGTTTATGTGTGTAGAGCACAGTCGATGTGTGATGACACTTCTTCAGAGCTTCAGAGAATGGCGGCCATTGACAGAAGGGATATTAATTCCCAGAATTCCTTTCGTGGGAGAGGTGCTCTGTCCAGGTATGACCGCTGATAAATGAATTCACAAGTTGCTTTACATCTTTTTATATGTATTCAGGCATAATTTATTTCCAGCGTGTGTCATTTTTGTTTTTTTTGTCTGTCTACCTGTCTTCAGGATAGTTAGTATGGTGGTGACTCTGAGAGAATGGGCACACAAGAGTTTGACCGAGGAGGCGGAGAGACCGGATTCCTTCTTGGAACGTTTCAGGGGCCCTGCCCACACGGACATGCAAGCCCCGCCCAGCAGGTTCAGCCACAGCCACACTGGTTCTGATGCAGATAATGAAATCAGAGCCACCAGACGCAAGTAAGAAAGCAAAAAAAAAAAAAACACACAAAGAAAACATACACTTTTAAACATCGAATGACACAAAATATCTGTCTTCCTGTTTTTTGCCCCTCTCTATTAGGAGGAGGAAGTGTAATGTCGTGGTCTTATCGCCATCTGATAACGCATACTACCACTGGCTGCTGGTGATTGGTGTAGCTGTTTTTTACAACTGGACTCTACTAGTTGTCAGGTTGGGAACTATTGCTGTACAGCAATACGAATGGCAATTAAAGTACTACATCTTGCAATAGTATAAATCCTATTTCTCGGGTATGCGTGGCTCTGACTAGTTCCAGCTCAATCTTACTTCTTTTATCAACCTCGGGTCCAGACACTGTGAACCACGTGCCCACCACCAAACAGACAAAATAAGCAACTAGCTGGTAAACAGCGTTGAGAATTTAACCACTAAAGAGCCAGATATTCCCCCCAGGAGTTGGTAGAGACCAAAAACAGAGCTAAACATTAACATACATTTATCAGGAGGACAGAAATCCAACTTCAAATAAATGCTAATGTTGCTCCGTGTCTGCTGGGTGTGTAAATAGGCAACCAATGCCTATAAACAACACTAATTCTGTCAGCAGATGCTTTGGTAGGAAGTTACTGATACTACCACAACTGCTATTTCAGTGGCCAAAAGGGGGCACTGAGATTCCTGTTCAAAAGAATATATTTTACCAGTGCCTCTTTATTTGTTTGGTGCAGAAAGTTGCTGTAATCGACTTAAAGTGCAAATGTCTCAGCGTATCTGTTATTTGCAGGGCCTGTTTTGATGAGCTCCAGATGAAGAATGTTTTGGTGTGGCTGGTATTGGACTACATCTGCGATGGAGTCTATATCCTGGATATAGCTGTTCGTCTCCACACAGGTATTGACATTTTTTGAAAACTATTTGTCATCAAGATACGCCTACATTCATTCATTAATATATGTATGTTATGTTTATTATGTATGTGAAGGTTTCTTGGATCAAGGTTTGATGGTGAAAGATGTGCAACGTCTGAGAGAAACCTACGTTCGAACCCATCAGTGTAAAATTGACATTTGCTCCATCCTTCCAACTGACCTCCTGTACCTGACTGTTGGAATCAGCTACACTCCACTTCTTCGATTCAACCGGCTGCTGCGTCTGCCACGGCTGTTTGAGTTGTTTGAACGCACAGAGACACGAACAAGCTACCCCAATGCTTTCCGCATCTGTAAACTGGTTCTGTACATCCTGGTGATCATCCACTGGAACGCCTGTGGGTACTACAGCTTCTCCAAGGTCCTGGGACTGGGCTCTGATTCTTGGGTTTATCCCAATGCATCAGATCCTGAGTTTGGCTCCCTGACCAGAAGTTACATATATTGTCTGTACTGGTCCACTCTGACACTGACCACCATTGGAGAGACACCTCCGCCTGTTAGAGATGAGGAATACTTATTCCTGATATTTGACTTTTTGGTAAGTCCATAGCAAAGGCGTAACTTTAGCTGATATGATCTTACCATTAAAGAGCCATAAAGGTGTTATATCCTGTTGATCCCAGTTGTTCCAGTCTATCAAAACAGCTAACAGCTAATTTCTGTCCTAGGTTGGTGTTTTGATTTTTGCCTCCATTGTGGGTAATGTTGGGTCCATGATCTCCAATATGAATGCAACAAGAGCAGCCTTTCAGAGCCGCGTAGACACCCTGAAACACTACATGCACTTCAGACATGTAAGCAAGGTGCTAGAGCAGCGTGTCATCCGCTGGTTTGACTACCTCTGGACCAATCAGAAGACAATAGATGAACAGGAAGTGCTGAGGAGCCTGCCCAATAAACTGAGAGCAGAGATTGCTATTAATGTCCACCTAGAGACACTGAAGAAGGTAAAGACACCCAATGACATGCCATGCCGTTTCTAACCCTCTTAGCTCCATTAATGCAATGTATTTGTGTCAACGTTATCATCAAAAGGTAAAAATAAATTGTGTGTGTGTCTGTGTGGACATAGGTGCGTATTTTCCAGGACTGTGAGGCAGGCCTCCTCGTAGAATTGGTATTAAAACTTCGACCGCAGGTTTTCAGTCCTGGAGACTACATCTGTAGAAAGGTCAGTATTACTTTTACTCATACTGTTGAAGGACATAGCATATTGCTACTGCTGTCGCACTGTAATAGATATATTAAACTATGAATGGGCTGTCCAAACACAGCTGTACATTTATTCTTATAAAAGCTCAGCACTTACCCCAAAAACCTTCCCTTGCTTCCTCCTTTGATGACCATAATGCACGTATACACATTTAAGATGTATAATATGTTTTTCTATATATCTTTTGAATATATTCTGGACCTAGTGGTCCAAAGTCTTACTACTCACAGTAATGCTCAGGAAATGTCCTCTTAGTTTCTTTTTTCATTAATGTAAATGCTAAAAAGCTGTATGACCAGCACTTCTGACTGTGGACAGTACACCAAACCTTCTGCACATCTTTACGGCAGTTTGTGGATGCTAAGTGCACCCAACTTAGATAGATAGATAGAT